GGTCGAATGCCTTCTCCAAGTCCACAAAACACATGTAGACTGGTTGGGCAAACTCCCATGCACCCTCAAGTATTTCCTTACATTTTCTGAAAAAAAAAATAAAATAAATAATAATAATAATGGATTGCATTTATATAGCGCTTTTCGGGGCCCTCAAAGCGCTTTACAATACCATTATTCATTCACACACACATTCACACACTGGTGAAGGCAAGCTACAGTTGTAGCCACAGCTGCCCTGGGGCAGACTGACAGAGGCGAGGCTGCCATATGGCGCCATCGGCCCCTCTGGCCATCACCAGTAGGCAGTAGGTGAAGTGCCCAAGGACACAACGACCGAAATTGTCCGAGCTGGGGCTCGGACCGGCAACCTTCCGATTGCAAGACGAACTGCCAACTCTTGAGCCACAATCGCCCAGGGGAGTCAATGAATGGCATTGACTCCCAAAGTGAGTCTGAAGTGGCTGTTGGGGTTTGGCCAATTCCCATAACAACCACAATTCCATGTTGACCTAAATTTCATCTCTGGAGTTTGTTGTTCATCAGACCAGCTGATATGTTTCCAAGTTGGTTAAAAGCAAATTTTCATCCACTGTCTTTGGGTGGGTCAGCAAAACCAGCAACAGAACAACAAAAACACCACATTAAAAAAACACAAAATGTAAAAGCCCAGCATTGTAACAATATTGAAGGGTTAAGAATATTTGAAATATAAGTTAAATCATGACAATCAGTACAAGACAGCTATTATGTTATCTTTAGCCAAAACTGAGGAGGCTCTCTTTCAAAACTACACCGTCCAATCACCGCAGATACCATAGTCCTAAGGCGGGATTCACATTAATATATTTTAGACCATAGAACTTTGTATGGGGTTACTTCATGGTCTAAGGAGCTTGGAAAGGGGGTTACTTCATGCATTGCTGCATTGAACTGCTTTGCACTTAAAAGTTGTAAAAAGTAAATCAACTTTGAAGGCATCAGCAAATGAAATCACACTTATTTAAATGGTTCAGCACATCCAAAAGCTGGTCTAATACTGTTATGAAAATATCCTGACAGAGAAAAGTTGTTGCTTGCACAGTTAGGAATCAAATTAAAGAAGTTGATCATTGAATAATCAGCTTGGTGTGCATCAAGTTGGTAACAGGCAGCTAGCTTGACTAATGCTAACTGCTTGGTTTTTGCACTATTATGATTGGACATGTGATTTTTGTCTAGGGGTGTTGAGAATTTAAAAACAAACCACTTAAGAAGCTTATAAAGTATATTAATGTAATGCCTTTGCAAACAGGAACTATCATGTGTTACTTATATATAATAAATTTGATGGATGGATGGAACTAAACAAATTGGTGAATGATAGATACAAAAAAATACATAGTGCCTGAAAAATTGAGAGATGGATGAATAGTTAAAAGATAGATAGCATTAGATTTGTGAATAGTACAAAGTGGGTGATGGATGGATGGATACATGGATAGTACACAATAGATAGATGATAGCTAGATGAATAGTACCAGATAGAAAGTATCGGATATATCTATGGATGGATGGATAGATGAATAGATAGATCGATACATATGGTATCTGATGTACAGATTGTTTGTGCCAGACAGACAGGCAGTACCAGATGGATGGATGGATAATACCAGATAAATAGATATATATCGATAGAACCAAATAGATGGGTAGTACTAGATAAATAAATGGATAGATAAATAATACCCGATAAATAGATTGATTGTACCAAATAGTACCAATAAATAGACACGTTTCAAGCAGGCAGATGGGCAGATAAGTAGATAGATCTGTGCTACTATTAACACAGAAGCTCCAAAAAGGGTACCTTTGACTATGATGCTGTTTTCAGTCAAAGAGACTCCACTATGATCCGGTATAGGATAAATGTGCATTATTGTGAACTTTAAATCATGCAAAGCTACTCTACTAGAATCCAACTATAAGGTAGTTAGGTGGAAGTGAACAGATTAAGTCCACTTAAATAAAGGTGAGCCTGTCTTTGCTGCATGGTCAAGAGACTAACAAGTGAAAAAGGAATGTAGTAGCAATAATGGTTGATATGCTTAAAGGAAGACAACCCTTTCTCTGACATTTTGGTTTATTTGGCCAATTTCTCACAGATTATGCATTATCTAAACGGCAGCCTTCAAACTGTAGAGTGACATCTGACCTCCTAACTTGATTTCTGTCCAAAAGCCACAGTATCTTACTCTCCCTAAGCCTCATTGTGGCACCATTGGAATGGGCATTGGCACTGCAGAGAGGTGTACTGTGCCAGCTACTACCCATAATTCTTTTTCCTCAATTAGTGCTGGCCGCTCAGCCTTTAGTATTGACAGATAGTTGTATATTATCCCTGGCTGCATTAAATGCTTCAGAGATTTGCACTGTAATTTCAACCACAAAGTTGAGCAAATCCTTCACACTGTGCTAACGTGTAGTGGGGCCACTTCCTAAAGACATTAGCATATTATGCCTTGCTTAACATTTAGCATGGGGAAATTAAAGTGTGCCAGAAAGGAGAGGAATGATGGGAGTCAAAATCTAAAAGTATATTGGTTATAGTTATTCATGTCTTAATCATTTTCTCAACCTGACATAATGATAATCGGTCGTACTTCAGCAGGTCTGACCATGTACCACATATAGACTTTCACTCATAGGTTTTGGCATATGGACACTGAAACCAACCACAGGGAAAAGTGCAATCTGATCAGTCAACTTATGATAATATTATAGTTAGGACTGTGAAAGGTCAAACCACAGCACACGTCTTGTTTTACGTGGCCTCCGCTGAGAGAACCCACAGATGGCTTCAGCATTGCTGCAGGGCCAGCAAACTGCAAAGTGCCTCTGGGGAAGGGATAAATGCCAGCAAAAACTCGTGCCCCGCCTTTCACCCCTTCCACCCTCCACTCGTTGTCCCTCACTCCCACATGGATGCTTGTTTGAAACTCCGCACTGCTGGACAGTCACTCCACAGTCGCTTGTGTCCAGAAATTCGCACAGCAGCAGAATCTGCTGTGTACACGCTGTCTTCGGCATCTAGGGAGCATATCAGAGTAATTGGGGTGGATTAACTGATCATCATCTTTTGACCATGTGACCACAATGTTTAAAAGGTCAGCAGTGGTTCATTTTGCCAGCTGTCTTTTAAACTACCTGTTGCACTCTTTTTGACTTTTTTTGGAATCAAAATGAGGCATTTTCTGGTCATTGTGCTGACATGAAGAACGAGAACAAAAAGAGCAGTTTTGAATTGCTTGCAGTATGTCCCACTTATTAATTTCACATACAGCGCCATGTAGATAGTATACTCATCTCCTGTTACTGCCCTAATGTGCACAGCTACTGCTTTTTAGGTCATATTCAGCAACGAGGGCAACTGTACCCCACTCTTGCAACCCAGAGGTAACCATAGACTTTAACAGAGTCATCAGATCCAAAATAAAATGACATGAACTATATTTAACCCCCTTTCCCACCCTATTTTTGGAACTTTTATGAGTAGTGGTCACATAGAAAGCTGTTCTCAGTTCTGGGTAATTGCACCACCTGTTTCTGTTTAGAAATATGAAGCTAGCTTTATAAAAAAGACAACATTTTTATACACCCACATACATAAAGGACATAAAGATAATGTTGTCACATTCAAATGTAGTAATCAGTTAATTTAACAGTTTTAAATAAAACTACCACCATAGCTGACGACCCACCAAGAAGAAACAGGAAACTTAGTAGCCAGTAAAATTATGGCTTTAGGTGGGCATGATGTATACTATATACTTGTATATATATACCTGCAGTCCCACTTCTTTTAATCTTTTAAATGGTTATTAACAAATTTTCTTGTGTGCCGGTAAATGCGACTCTATGACTACCTGTGTATGTATTGTTATTACCTATGTATTGGTATTTTATATCTACCCTGCAAGAAGAACAGAGAAGAACAACTTCTTTCTGCGTAATGACAGGATCTGTCTCCACCTGGGATGAACAAATCCATCCTTTGACAGAACATTAACATGCCGTCCTCCTTAAGGCACTTTAGCCACTGCTTCTGCGTCTCCCTAGGAGTGATCAACCTTGGGGACTGAGACAAAAGGCTTTTCAGATAAATTGTCATGGCTTCTAGCCACATGGACATGACATCAAAGTTGCAATTCTTGCATCTTATATGAAATTTGTGCAACTGCCGATCATTTTCTGCCATCTGCATTTAAGGTAAGTCCTAAGATCTACTGAAACATGAATATTTCCAGAGATATAGGCAGAGAGCCTCAGATCCATAGATGCCACTGGGGCTGACAGTTCAATGGGCATTTGTCAGTTACAGAAAAGGGAGTTGAGCTAATGCTTCCTCATCCATGCTGCATTCACCCAAGAGGCTATTATATAAAGCTATTAAAATTATTTAAAAATGTGTATTTTTGTCATGCTCAGCCTTGGTCACATGCCAGATGTTATTTTACACATTCCTTGAAATGTACCAAGTTTGATTTTGATTTGACCGTCCCTCCTGCTGGTTTTAATTGCTTTTGATGGATAAATTCCTCCATAAAGCAAAAGTCTGCATGATTACGCTTGTGAAGCCTGGTATCGATCTATGACAAGACTGGGAAAAAATGTCTTTTCTGCCCAAAAACCAACAAGATGGAAAACCAAGATGACAGAGCTGATGTGTTAAGGTGCTTTTAACTCTGCTAGATCCCAGGCTTCCTTGTCTGTTGAAACTCAGGAAGATGATTAAGAAGTTACATGGACAAATGTCCCTCTAAA